ATAAAATGCGTTAAACGGAGATGGAAAAGTTATACTGACACTCCCATCGACGAGTTTCTTTACCAACACCGGTGACATCATTCAGTCCTGATGACGTCACCGGCGTTGCTAATGAAACGGGCCGACTGTTCGTAAAACTTTCCCGTCTCTTTTACCACTTTTTCATTTGGGTTTTCAAAAACCACGCATCAAGAAAACGATCCTTTGATGAATTATTGGACCAGAATCAAAACTCTTTCAAGACATGGTATAACATCATTTATATTGCTCATATTTATGACCTGCGATTTAGTTGCTGTTGCTGCCTTCTATCGATTCACGTTATGACTTTGATAAACTTCTGAATATTAGTGTTATTGACACAAGGTGTATTAGCGAGTGGTTGTCGAGCGGAAGGACAACAAAAGCGGTACAGTAAACAATGCATAGAAAGTTAGTTTTATCCAATGGATCAAACCCTAACCGAAGTTCGCTTTGTTCTCTTTGATGGTAGTTCACAGATATCCCTTCCGTGGAGGAGATCATCGTTTTTTTTGCCGCTGTACTTATCCTGAAATTATTGTCACAAGCCAGAGTTAAGGGTGATGAACGAACAATCTGTTTAAACGTCAAACTTAAAATAAACGAATGGATTGGGAAATGTGATAATCTTTTGTTTTAGTTTTGCCAATTACCTGTTACAGCTGCATGCCTACAGCTTTTAAAGAAAAATGGTCATTTCTTAAAGAAACCTACTATTCGCCGGCAAACTTCACGGATCTCTGTAACGGCGAGAAAATCAGCAGGCAGGTAGAAACTGTGCGCTGTTTTGGCCCTTGTGTTACCCTCGTTGAATCTTCATTTGTCGGAGGTAAGAGAAAGTTCTTTCTGATGGTAAATTAATTTATTTAAAATTCAAAAAGCTTAAAGACGAAAGGCGATATTTCTATTTACTCTTTAATCGATCTCGAAGCTGTTTCAACGGAAACATTGAAAAGGGTAACGATAGTCAGGTAAAGCATGTCCTAAGGGCCTACTCTGAAATTCAATTTGTTGTTGATACGTCGCTCCTGTCAAGCTTACATATTAATTAGCGAATATCATTAGATTCGAATTCGTGGTCTGCTGCTCCGCTTCCTTGCTTTCGCTCATAGGGGGGGAAGCTGTTTAGGCAGACTCTGTTACTACATGTTATGGGTACATCTCCAATGATAGGTGCGCTTTCCATCGTTTTCATCATTCCATTGGCTGTTCTCAACTTTCTGTATGTATGTGGTATTGTGATGACGACTTAAAAGTAGAGAAACACTTATTATAGAACGGGGTTCAGCTTAAGATATCCTGTCAAACATGTTTCTGGCATTTGAAGACAAATAATATTTTCCAGGTAAATTGCACAGGGAAAGAGCCTCGTCAATTGACAACTTTCGCATGCAATGGACGGCCGTTACGAAATATGGTACATATCATAATACCCAGAAAATCAATGAACCACTGATCCAGGACAACATATTCAACAGTGTGAAACGACAGAGAAGGTAGAACAGTTTAGGACTCTGCAGAATGATCTCCAGATAAGAATCTGATTAATTACGATTAAATAGAAAGTTTGCCATGACCTCGCGTATTTCTAATAAATATACTTTAAATTTTTTCTTTTGATATCAGACTGAAACGGCGGCGCAATGGCACGTTCTAGCCGTCTAAGCGACCGTTTAAGCAGGATAAGGCTCCATGGTATTTGATTGGCTGCAGTACATGGATTACCTGCAGTGCAACACTGCACCTCTAGGCAAGGCCAAACAACGGGCTGTTCGAACAACTGAAAAATGCCATTTTCTGTAGACGTATCTATGCATAAAAATTATAATAAACCCGACCATATACGTTTATTAGCATGTTGCTGATTATCGATACCGCCGGTAAGACAAATATGACTTGCTCATCACTCAGCAGAAGTAGCATCAAGCACATATATGTATTTTTATGTACGTGTCACAACCCCCGTCTCAAATACGGCACGGTATTCCTAAAATTCTGTACCGGAAAACAGTCGTCGCTGCTGCATAGCAACACGAGATGATTCGTTTTGTCAAAGTCTTGCCAAAATCTCATGTTCTCAACAACTTTCTTGTCGTCTTATTCCTGTAGTCAAGTGTTAAGGAAGTGGGTACGGGAACTTTGCTCTGAGTTCAGATGTTCGGTAGTTTTGTACTGCTTTGATCAGCCACGCGTTCTTTGTCATCAGATAAATGACAAGATATATTGTGCTACTGTCTGAAACATATTCTGGAAAACTGAGGGGAAGGAGCAATAATTAGTTTGAACTGTTATGTACTTTGTGCATCTAACAAATTCACAAATGTCATTTGTAAAACCACAGTTCAAAAGACTCGTAAAGCCTGTTTTCTGATCGTCGACGACCTAAGCTTCAGAACTAAAGCTTTTGATTAGTTTCTTCAAAGATTAGAGTATCTTCAACACGCTGCTTCTGCTCTGCTGCCATGTCCATCAGTCTTGTGAGTCTTAGCGACTTCAGCCCTTATGCCATATTTTCATCACGAATATAGCCAGAGTGCTGGGAACGAATAATCTGCAAGGTTTCTTTGTCATCAGCCTTTTCGATCGACCATTGGAGAGTGGCCTCTCAAGGAATTCGCCATTAACTTCTATTTTCTGCAATTCTTATCCATCTTGATTCAATTAATTTTTTCTTCTCGTCTTGCCCTTTCCGCAAGGTTTCATTGTGAAAAACAACTGGTTTGAGTACAGTTTATGTCGTGCATAATCCTTACTGTAATAATCAGGACTAGTGTCTGCTCTAGATCCTGACCCCTCCCATAGATAGCCGTAATTCTTCAAGAGGTGCCGCGATGACTGTTCGTAATTGATTTTGGTTTTTGCATCAAATCGCACTCGTAACAAAAACGTTAAATTGAGCGATCGACAAACGGAAACCCGTAATTGCTTATGAGCATGGTACATCATGGGTTCTTTAACGAAGCAGCTACCTATATGTCTAGCTCATGCAGCATTTTATTCATAGATTAAATCGAATTTAATAATCAGTGCTAAAGAAAATTTTGTATGCATGTTAATTATGCCCATATGTTGTTTAGGACAGTTCACAGGGCACTACTACGTTCGCGGTTGCATGGATCGAATTGCGAGAAAGGGCTTCAACGCTGTGACTGTTCGCCAGATGGGCTTCGAGCAGTACGACACATGTCATAAGGTGATGCGAAGTCAGTTGTTTCGCAATGTTCCGTACGTCGAGGATCAGATAACCATGTGCACTTGTTTCGAGGACCGCTGCAATTCGGCGCGACGAACGTTGTTCACCCAAGTGCCTAACTTCTATTGGTTCGTCCTGCTTTACGCCACTGCTAGCGTCATCAATGAACTTGTGAACGTGGATTTTTCTTGACGGTAATGTTTTGCTGTGCTCAATGCTCAGACTGAAAGTCGCAGACAATTCGTATGAGTTACTTTGGATGAGGAAATTGAACAGACAGAAAAAGTTGTGCAGAATTTGCCATCTACCCCCCCCCGTCTGAGCATTACTTCAGTAAGAACATAATTCATAATTATGTACCCTGATTTGCGCATTGACAGAAAATCCAGTTTAACAGCTCTACAGCAGATTCTAGACATGCATAACTATAACAGACGTGTCAGATAAACTTTACACGAGAAGAAAAGTAATCCAATTGAAAATATTCACCTGAGGGAGATTAACCACTGCCTTCTAATTTAATCCCAAGCGTTCAGTTCCATATTTCGCCTTGGTGGTGATCAATGTTGGTTTACGAAGGTACTTGATGTAAAATAAAGACGTTTGAAACATCAATGTTTCGTTGTGTTGATTAAAATTTAATCCCTACAATTCGATATTCAAACAAAACTTAATCTGCGCGTAAGATTCTATCACTTGATTTGCAACAATCTGCCATGAAGAACTGCTCTAACCTATGTCCGTTTCTTGAATGTGTGGATGGAAAGTTACAGTTTTAAGATGGTTTCTTTAGCAAATGAAAGTGCACGGCCTGTACTCAATTTACCTCTCCAACGATGCACTAGTACTTTAATGATCATCTTGGTCTGATGTCCAATCCACGCTGGAACTGCATGGATTTAGGATCATGTACCACCTGTGCCCACCTTGGGAAGGGCTAAACTGAAAAATTGAATGTCCGGCCATAATATCACACGTTCGTTTCCCTGAACGAAACGCTCAACGCCAAATCAGCAAGTTTCTCTAGTCTCGCCGAAAATAAAGCCAAAATTTTCAATAGGCAATAAATTTCTAACTGTAAAACGTAATGAGAGCCAGTCACTGTCCAACAAATAAAGCATTTTGCACAAGCAAATTGAGTTTACACATGGTCAAATAAAGTTTATTCATATGCAAATTACGACTTGCGTTTAGTGGTCAAGCACAGTAACTAATTACATTTGCTGGCCGGACTGATGTACAGTGATAAAAAATACGGGTCGACAGGATGCTACCTGTCTTCCTCAAAGCACGAACGACGTGGCTTAATTTCTCCAACTACCAATTACATGTGGCATTTAACTGACAAACGAATCCATTGTCTGAAAACAACAGAGGTCCAGTCCGGACCGAGATTTACATTCACTTATTTTAAGTTCTGCGAATTTCAAAAACTTCAGATCAAACAGATAACAGAAGCCGATTCAGTTTATTCCATTCCAATCCAAACAATTTCGTACATACTGACCAGATTTTCACCTAAAATCGATAAAAACAAAACAAACAACAACAAACGCAATAAACGTATACGAAACACGCTATATTATCTCCTAGAACTCGGCCGTTTCCCGTAAACGACTTTTGGCCGGTTCTTTATTAGACCCTTTCCTTTTTGGCCACTCTGAAATGCATTTCGAAATTATTATGTCCCACAAGCATAACAGCTGACTAACCTTGCCATACCGAATATGCGAAGGCCGTTTCACTTTCCTCTGTGCATATTTCAGCATTACCCGATTTTCCGGCTTCTTGACCTTGTAAATTCTGACCAACCAGTTCTCTGTCGTATACGCTTCTTCCATATAATTCAGAGCAAAGTGTTTGTTACCGATTTCGGTCCCTCGAGTGCGATCGAACCCCGGCGGAGTACGAAGCTCTGTCTAAAAAAAAAAACGCTGGACTGCAGCCAACAATGAACATCTCTCATGCGAACTGTCGACTGTCTGTGTCTGAGGTGGGAAACTGATGG